AGGGCACAGTCCATAGCGCGATTGAAATAAACTGGTTGGGGAAACCGAAACTAAAGTTAGAAAGAGCTATTTCAGGGGTTTTAAAAATATAGGAATTGGATGATACTCCTAGAAAGAAGTCATTGAAAAATGGGCAGTTCCAGGAGAGACAGCCTCAATCCATTGTGCACGGGCGTTAATCACAACCAATACTATTTTTTCGGGAGGGGAACATAACAATCGCCGTGTACCCTATTTTACGACTAGTCAATAGAGGAAACACGAGGAACTTCCTCTGTGTTTTTGAACACGCAGGAAATGCTATTATCATATTTTTAATATCTGATTCAAATTAGAGCGACATGGGCAGTTAAGATAGTGGTCGAGAGAAGTTCCATCTAGTGAACAACTTGAGACAGATATCACTTTTGTATAAACTAATATGAAGGAAAAAACCCAAGGACATCGCTCTGGCACAATTCAAGAGACCATCAAGTGGATGCACTTGGAGACAGTGGCTATCATTAGACTGCATGGGAAACGGCTCTCTGGCTGACAAATGCCCTATCTCAGACAGGACCTCGAAGACACTGGCTGCCTCAGGCGGCGTAGTATAAGCATAGCCTCATCTAATGACAGTATACAAAGTGGACGCTACTACAACCACGTCCGTCCGATTACGATCGGACTAGAGTGTTTTACTAGCGAAAGCTACGATAAACAATTTTCTCCACTGATTGGCCCACAAATTTTTACCCACTCTGACCGTCATTTCATCTCTCCAGACTCCTCCCTTTTCAGGCAGAATACGATATCTATATTTCAGAAACCATTGTAAAACATCTGAGGAGTTGTGTGTCAACATGTCGAATTCTGTATCAGAACGTTTTCGGTTTCCTTGTATCGGTTTTCTGTTTGGTGTGTCAACAGATACGACATGAGTGTGTGTAAACTTCGACGGTCGTAAATTTGATGAGCATTGTCCATGAGGATGCAATGTTTGGACAACAAACTCTGAATGTCGGTGGCGTGGGAGTGACGTCTATACGGGCGCTGCGGGTCATTCCAGATTACGGATGACAATGGCGGCAAGTTAGTCAGAAATGTCCACTCCAGTATCAATTTACCTTGTAAACAATACAAAACTACTGGGTCTTTAAACCTCTTGTTTGTTTTTTATGCTATGCGAGATGCCTTCTTAACTGAACGGTTAGAGTGGTCTGACGAAAATGCCCCTCACTGAGCTCACTCCGTATAGCTTTCCGCGGAAACATTCGATAAATTTCCATACCCTCCGTGGAGAATTTACACAGAACTAGATACGACACTCTCCGAGTTGGTAGACTCATCACTTGCACCTATGCCACCGAAAAGTATCATAGACGTGCATGCCTGAACTTTGTAAGGGAGTCTATCACCAGCGCATAAAGAGAATCCATTTTGTTAATTGTCCAGTTTTGCATATGCATTAGGAAAGGGTAAACTAATATGGCAAGAGAAGCATGCGAGAATACCACAGGAAAATATTTGCACCCTAACCGCAAACCCAAACACTAAGCCATGCCTGGCAACAATAGCTCTAAAAATAACTCGGATCCAAACTTGAACGCTAAACGTAGTTCTAACGCCATCCTTGAGACAAGTACCCATTTAACATCACTAACATCAATGAAGGTCAAAATCGGAGTATGGAATAACCCCCTTTCGCGACTCATTGTCAGGCAAACCTTTACGAACCAAATCTTCGTACATAAGATGTGAACGTAGATTCTTGAGTAACCATCCGGCAAATTTACATACCCCACTCTCGTCTAATTAATTAATCAGTCCCGGATATATTGCATAAAACAACACCCTACTGTGGCAGGAGAGGCCTGCGAAAATATCCACGGAAAATGTCCCTATTTCTATGTGTTTAACATTCTCCTCCATGGATTTACTCATTTTAAAAGATGCAATTCCCGTGTCGCGGTCGAGAGATTGCATCTTGATTACTCTACGATATTCATGTCTAGATGACCTAACAATAATGTAACTAAATGCCTGCCTTTGCAATCCACTCTCTGTCCAGGAAGTAGGTTGCCGACCGGATTATCGATTTTGCACGGCCATTGTCAGCGGTGCAATCGATGCTGACTCGTTTTGAATGCTCGGCTGTCAGCACAAATCTGGCGGACGATAGCTGAGATGTCTGACTTTGTGCGCCTCTTCCTTTATTAATTATTCGCCCATTACTGCGGCCCCAGTCGACTGCTGCCCGCAGATGACACGAGCGTGGACCAAACGGACAGCACGGGTACGTCTTCTGAAGCTTTTTAACCCATATCTCAGTCCTTAAGAGATGAAAATGGTAGGACAGTGGCAGGACTAACAGCATTTCTATTTACTAGAAAATACTGATAACAAACCACTTTAAACGAGGCTAGAGATATTCGTCACGCCTTCTTCCGTGGACTATGCTATTAAAAATCCACGGAGACCAGTTAACAAACAATGAATCAGAAATGTCAACGAAATACACAAGGATAATTTTGAGCGATCATATCTTATAATATGCGAGCGGGAATATTTGAACTTCAATCTAGTTCCCTTTTCGCTTCCTAGATGCCGACCATCTTTCCACGCCACCTCTCATCTGCGCGAGACTCGAGTCGTTTGCAGCCAATCACATAGCTTCTTAAGTATTTCGTATTTCAATAATGAATGCCAGTAGTAGGACTGAGACAGCCTAGCAGATTTTGCCTTTAATAGCAGAGACCATAAGTAGGCTAAATCGACTTCTGTGACTTTAATTGTATGAAGTGGACGAGTGTAAATCTTGAGAGGCTAACCGATAAGCAATGCACCTGAAATGTCGACAAAACCCAGAAGGAGCTTCTTCACAGAACATTTCGCCTAACATGTAAGCGTGCATATTTGGACATAACCAGGTGATTTTTCGCTTGACAGCTCTCACTCATATTATCTCGCCGCCTGCGTCTGCATAGAACCGGAATCTCCCAACCTCATGAATCCGCCGCGTCATAGCCCCAGTGGTTCCTCCAAATCCGACTCCTCCTCCTTTGATGATTTTCCAATTGATTCTCCTCCTCCGACCTCTGATTACCAAACCGATCGACCTCAATCCTCCCGCCGCATTTATTGTCCGCCCTCCCGTGTCCGCCTTCCACATTTTCGCCCCCCATGTCTCAATTCATCCCACAGGCCAACCCCAATGCAGCAGTGGACACCCGGCAAACGGACCACTGCATTCCTCCCTCTGCACTTCCAGCCTCATCCAAGGATGGTGTCAATATTGACATATGGCATATGCCGTTCTTCTGGAAAGGCAAACTCAGAATAGAAGATGACACCTCCTTGGATGTCAGCTCCTCTATCTTCGACTTGTCATGGCATAGCGAATCCCGGGAGGTGGAAGCGGCCGAGACTGTTTTCAAGGCAGATCAAAGCTGCAACCCGCCCCGGGATCACCAAGAAGTTGACGCTAGCCTGATGAGTGAACATTGGCCGGACTCGGTGTCGGCCTTCCCCAACGGTGACCACCCTTCCTCGCCGAATGTCTGCGTTGAAGGCGAGCATTGGGTGGAGGCGTGTATGTTGGAAAGGACCGACAGCCCGCATGCGATGCAAGGTATTGGTAAATGCTCTTTTATGGTTGGAGTAATTTCATGAAGGGTCGGTTGTTAGTAAAATGATAGCAGCTTACAAAACGCATTATGGCTTACTACATACGTCGCATGAAAACTTTCATCCTCTACAATATTTTCCTCAATTTCAGGCGAAGTTTTGGAGGACAAGCCGTCACCGACGAGGGTAATTCTGTTATCGTTGTTGTTGTTGGGGTGCAGAGTTCAATTTTCATGTCAAGTCGCCTTGCTGCTTTCCTACACTCATTGATCCATCTATTTCCGCGCAGCAGCAGCACAACCACCGCAACGTCCGGACGACACACCGCTTCCAGCTCCTGCGTGGCTAAGAGAAAAGCATTTACCCATTCCTCGTATTGCATTGGGAGTACCGGACCTTTCCTCCATGCATGAGTCCTCCCAATCCCACCTTCAACGTATACAGGAGTCCCAATTGCTTGCGCTTCTCAGAATTCGCTTCGCCATGACCAGTCGAAGATGGAAGAGTTGACGTCCAGAGAGGTGTCATCTTCTGTTCGGAGTTTGCCTTTCCAGAAGAACATCGGCATGAACACCTGCCATGGAGAGGGCTGGAAACGGAGGGTGAGGGTGAGGAATGCGGTGTTCCGTTTGCCTGGTGTCCACTGCTGTATGCGAGGGCTGGAGGTCGAAGTTGTAGAAAGCGGACGAAAAATACGGCGGGAGGACTGGGAACGATCGGGTTGGTAATCAGAGGTCGGAGGAGGAGAATCGATTGGAAAATCATCAAAGTAGGAGGCGTCGGATTGCGATGAATCATTGGGGCGATGACGAAGCGAATCTCCAAGTGGTTGCGAGGAGAGATAATCGGCATCTAGCAAGTAGCATACAACTAGGTAATACCTACACATGCACATTCTTAAAGTATCTATGACAGTTTTAATTCATCGTCTGCCATTTAGCAATCCGATTCCATAAATGTTTTTTTAAGTTAAAATGCATCTGAATGAACTCAAACCATGCGCCTCCGAAGAATTGCTTCTATTAATTTGTTGTATTTTTGCGACTAATTGAAGAATGGAATCACCAAACTGTACACAAATTCATTTTTCAGTCGAATTGTTAAAGGTCAAAGCTGAACTTCTCTGTTTGTTACAGGAGACTAACATGCAAGTCCGGTCGCTGTCCTACTACTGTGAATGTTACGAAGCTGAACGATGCGTCACCGCTTGTGTCATCTGCTGAGAGCAGTCGTCTGGGTCCGCAGTAATGGATGAAGAATTTGCAGCGGAATAGGCACACAAAGTCGGACATTCCAGCCATCGTCTGCTAGCTTTGTGCTGACCGCCAGACGTCCAAAATGAGCCATCATCGGTTGAGAAGGCAGTAGCGCCCGTGGAACATGGATGATTGTGTCAGCGACGTGTCTCTCGTGCTGAGAATGAACCGGAAAGAGAGGCATCCATGTTTTGAGAGTTGCGAAATTTTCCATGAAAGGATTCAGAAGAGCATTTGATGAGTTGTATGTTTATATTGCAATGGTGTACAAGTAATAAAGCATGATAACGATCAGAGAAATTGATTACTGTTCCTCTTTTTATACAAATGGGATGTGTGAACGGGGGGGAGGAATGAGAGACAGTGAGTTGGTAGACGGTGTGGGTTGGGGGACGGGGCGGGGGTGGCCGCGGATTAATGCCTTCAATAGACCGATCTTTAGCCCTGGCACATGCGGAGCCTGCACCAGGTTCCTTTGCGCGCACAAGATCGACTTCCCTAAGTTGAAGGCAGTTTCTTCAGTTGTTGCTAGCGGACGCTGACCTTGTTGATTAGAATAATTCAGTAAGACCCAGTAAATCACACGGAAGGTTTCGTTATGCCCGGATTCTACATTATGTGCGAGAATGTCGCCGTTCATGTCCTTAATTTTGCTTTTTCCCAGCCAGGCCGGGGGTGTTTCCGCATTTTGTTACGATACCCATCCACTGGAGGAAGTATGCGTGTAAATGCACATAGAGGTGGTCTGGGCTGACAACCTATCTTTTTCTTCTCCGTGTAGAAGGGGGTTTTTCGAGAACAGTACGCGAACGCTGGCTGCTGGGAAGGTCAAACACTCTATTTAGGGCGCTTTCTTTGGAGATCAGTCGTTGCGCTCTTTGAAAATGGACGTTGAGGTACACAGTTTTCTTCTCCCTTGTCAGTTTAATGTCTTTTGCTGGCATCCGGATACTATTGATTGCAAAATGTCCGTCAGAATACCCGTTCTCCTGAAGCAGAAGCTGGATCGTTCTAAGTTTCTCACCGACGCTGCCTGCCAGATTGTCTTTTTCACCTCCAGCGTAAACTTGGTCGACGGATGTCTCTGATTTACAGCATATAAGAGGACGGCTATGTTGGCTTGTGCAGTGACTGTTGCGATGACGTCATCAACGTGATAACTGCTATGTTCTGGCCCAATAATCTGGTCGCTTATTTGAAATTTCCACATCTTATCCATGTGAATATTGCCTATGAGAGGATCAAGAGCTGAGACAATGGCGACGTTGTTTATTTGTCTAAATAGTTGATCGTCATATATGGAGTACACATGTAGTGTGCATCTTAGTAACTCAGCCTGGAGTGCGTTACTTTGTATTCCTGCTTCCTGCTGATCGGTCGATAGGTATTTGTGGACGTAATCGACTGCCTCTATGAGCGGGCCGTTTGTGAAGGATGATGAGACATCTAGCGAAAGCATAATCATTTCGTTTAGGCTCGGATCCTTGCCATTTCAATGAACTCCAAGGCGTCCAGATAACTACGTAGTGCTAGATGATCCCGCCAACCCAATTGGGATGCAGCCCGTCCGCCTTTCCTTGTTCTCAGAGGTCTTATTTCTTTATGCGCACACGAGGGGCGTGGTGACACACCGCATCAGTCACCTGTATCCTACCCCACCGCCTACCTACTTGACACTGTCTTGACATTAGGTCTGCGTGGGAGAGAGTGAGAGAGTGCGTTAGACGCTGCGCAAGTTTACCATGACTGTAAACTAACTTACGCACATGTCACCGCCTCTTCGATCATCTGGCTGTTAGGACACGCAACGGACATTGACGGAAATGACGGCCGAACTGTCGGTGCTATTTGATACCGTACGGACTTGAGATTCCTTGCTAGCCACCTAGATATGCCCTCAAACTTGTTGATATCTGTGTCAATTCAGCTGCAGCGACGACTGTCTTCACTTAAACGGTAAAGGGGCTGCGTAATTGTAGCCGATTGAACCATAAAGCGACTAAAGTAAAATAACCAATCCGAGGAAAGAATGCAACTGACTAGTTTTGCTGGGGCGATCGGCCGACTCCAGGAGCTGCTGCAATTGCCTTCTAGTGGATGGGGGTCAATTTTGTTCAAAATCAAGCCCGGGTATTCCACCGACTCAGGCACCAACTGACATTTATCCTTCTTCAGTTTGAAACGAACTTCATCTAAGCGTACTAACACTATGTTTAAGGCCCTTAGGTGACGATATACAGATGAGCTGAATACTAGTTTCTCGCCATGATATATGCAAACGTGGGGCATGTCCTTCACCACGCTGCCAGTCAGGGGGTTCCAGTATTTTGCTGGGATAGGCGCCCACTCGTACGATCAGTATAACCTGATCCACTGGAGGAAGTAGAGGAGTAAATGCACATAGAGGTGGTCTGAGCTGACAACCTATCTTTTTCTTCGCCGTGTAGAAGGGGGTTGGTCGAGAACAAGGCCCGAAATCTAACTTCTGCGAAGGTTCATTTAACCGTCTATTCAAGGCGTTTTCTTTGGAGTTCATTCATTGCGCCCTTTGGGAAGGGATGTTATGGAACACGGTTTTCTTCTCCATTTTCAGTGTAATGGGCTTTGCTGGCATCCGGAGACTATTGATTAAAAGATGTCCGTCGAACTACCCGTACTCGTGAGGCAAATCCTGGATCGTTCTAAGTTTCTCACCGACGCTACCTGCCAAAATGACGTTTCCACCTACAGCGTAAACTTGATCGACATACGTATCTGATTTACAGTACATAATAGGGCAGCTATGTTGGCTTTTGCAGAGGCTGTTGCAAAGATTGTATCTACGTAATGACTCTAATGCCCTAGCCTATTATGTCGTTTATTTGAAATTTCCCTCACTTCCCCATGTGAACATTGCCTATGAGAGGATCAAGAGCCGAGACCCTAGTAACGTCGTGCATTTGTCTATATAGTTGATTGTCATATATGGACTACACATGTAGTGTGCATTTTAGTAACTCTGCCCGGAGTGCGTTCCTTAGTATTCCTACTTCCTGTTGATTGGCCGACAGGTATTCGTGGGCGTAATCGATTGCCTCTATGAGCGGGACGTTTGTGAGGGATGATGAGACGTCTAACGAAAACAATTATTTCGTTTTGGTTCAGGTCCTTGACGTTGTCAATGGACTCGAGGTCATCCCGATAATTATGTAGTACTAGTTGATCCCGCCCACTTGGGATCCGACCCGCCCTCCTTCTTTTTGTTCTGTGAAATCGTGGTTGTTTGTGCGAACACCAGGGGTGTAGTGACACACCGCGGTAGTCACACGTGTCCTCGACCTTCTTGACACTGTCATATCATTGGGCCCAAGTGGGAGAGGATGAGGGTGTGCGGTAGACGCTGCGCAAGTCTGCCATGACTGTAAACTAACTTACGTGCATGTCACCATCTCTATGTTCATCTTGCACCCTTTCACATTTGCATTCACGGCGAGGTAATTTGTTGCTTGCCCCATGTTTCAACCGTCACGCATAAACCTTGTACGTGATTAGTGTGAATCTGGACGGGTCGGCAAAAAAGGTCAGTTGGAATTTTTTTATACCAAACACCATTGCTGAGGTTAGTTTACCTGGTTCCGAATAGCTGATTATCGCCGGAGGTTATCGACATCTCGGCACTAAACGGCATCCGGCGCATGCCAACTGAAAGCTTCACCGTCTAAGACGTATCGCAGTTCAACATGAAAGTCTTTTCCGGGTGGCAGATGAGGAGTTAAGAGCCACCTTTGCCTGCACAAAAGCACTTTATTCGATCTCCGATCAGCTCTAGCGACGACTATTATCAATCAAACGGTGAGAAAGCTGCGCAATTGTAGCCGATTGAATCCTGAAGCGACTAAAGTAAAATAACCAGGCCAATGAACGAATGCAACGGACCAGTATTTCTGGGGCGATGCGCCGGCTCCAGGGGCTGCTGTACTTACCATCTAATGGGTGGAGGCCAGTTTTATCCAAAATGAATCTCAGGTATTCCACCGCCTCAGGAACAAACTGGCAGTCATCTTTTTTCAGTTTGAAACCGACTTCTTCTAAGCATACTAACACTATGTTTAAGAGCTCTAGGTGGCTATATTATAGTTCGACCATCGATTTCGATGATGTCCACCGTATGCCCCACAGACTGCATTGTGGAGCAGGGACGGTGACTTACGCAGGGGTTTATAGTGCCAGTAGACTTGCGTGGCATCTACCTACACTCTCTCCTCCTGCCTCGCCTGAGCCCGGTGTCAAGACCAAGTCAAGAAGACCGGAGACGGGGGAGGCCGCAGGTGGATGGCTCGGACGGATCCTCGCCTTGGCGCTCCACTTCGCACCCCCTGGTCCGCACACAAATGACCCGGATTTTGACCACAAAACAATGGAGTGGTGGCAGTGGTCCAGTTGTGCGACGAATGCCGACAACAGGGTCCGCCAGCGCACCCCGCAAATGTTGGCATTTGTTATTGCGCACAGATAACGCCTGCCAGAGTCCGATGTGGCCCCCGTGTTGGTCCAGCGCATCTAACACGTGGCCCGTTTGGAGGGCACAGGTGGCTATATACAGATGAGCTGATTACTAGTTTTCGACACGATATGTGCAAACGTGGGCCACGTTCTTCACCGCGCTGCCAGTCAGACACTGAAACAATCTCGAAGCAGAACTTTCTCGAATGGTAGTCTCATTTATCGAACCAATCCTCAGCACACATATTAGTGACGGTGACGTCTTGAGAGTCTGTATTTAGGACGAGTTGGTTGTAAGCATGTTTTAAATAAAAGGGTGCAAATGTTTAATCACAAGAGAGCGAAGCAGTCAGGTCCTCAATGCGAGCGTGAAAATGACGTTTTAGTTTAGTTCGCAAATTCACCGTCAGTTTATAGTTTCCACGGATACGAATACGGCATTTGGGCTTAAAAATAGGGACTACTGGGTGCGCGCATGCCGAATATTACACGGAATCGATGATGCCCGCTTTCCGCAGAAAGTCGAGATCTTCTTCGTCCTTCGACGCGACTGCATAGGAGACTGAATGGGCTTTGAAGAGCCGACAGTTGAAAATCTGGCTTGAATTCGAATTTCATATGTGGGTCTCGGTTCTGGGTAATGAAATCGCCATAAAGTCTTCCTTTGCAACTTGCCAGAAAAGGACCTAGAATCGGGTTAATACCAACCCGAATTGTGTGGACTGGCAGGGATGGCACAAATTTGGTACATTTCCCCTTGAGCAAACTTGATTGGGAGATTTCCCTGGCCACGTGGACCCGTAAGTAATAGATGTATCCATAATGTTCCACTCTGATCGTAAAGATCCCTCGAAATTCTACACTTTGCCAGTGTTAGTACAGAAAGTTGAGTGAGCAGCGAAAAGGTAACAACTGAGACAGTGTCACCTCCAAACCCCACAGAATGACGATTAAGCAGATGGATGCCAGTGTAGGAACATTGGAGCTGCGAGTTGGCTGGAAGCATTCGGAACATCGCCTTATCCTCTCCACCTGGATTTGGGTAGGTGGCATGAGTATTAGTGCTTGGCTGTCCTTTTCGGAATCAAACTTATTCGATGCGGCCCATTTTCAAGCAACCCCGACAAAATGTCTTCTGGAGTCTACACTCTGACCAACGGATATGATGCTGACCACAAGGGTAGCAAGACGGTAGTTGATTTGAAGCAGCCGCTGGCTACTCTTTAGGTAAAAATCGACAGTGTTTACCAAGGGGACGCCCACTTCACGTGCAACTTCTCTCATGACAGATCCCACTTCTCCGATAAGAGTTCCTGACGAGATTTCTCATTGCGCAAACAAAGGTTAATTTGCAGGACAATCACCGCATGATCGAATTTGTCTGTCTTGATCTCTCTATATCCACAGTGGTGGATGGCGAGAATTAGATTTGTATTAAAATTATTGATTTTTCAACTGTATTCCCGACGAATCTGACGAAACCGATTGCGGCTCAGGACAGCTCGACCTTCGTTACCGACGATGCCCACCTCTGTGCGGCTGCTGGTTGGGCTCGAGAGGGAGCCCTTAAGGCACAACGGAACGAGTGAGTTCCGTATGAACGATCGGTGAGCGCCCCCTACCAGTGTGCACACAGCACCCCAAGAAGTTGCAGCTAACACCTCACCAGACAAGTGTGCGTGGCGCCGAGGTCGTTGGGCCACGGCATCTGAACGGAGTCCGCCTGCAGCCAATCATCTAGGGCGCAGCGCTGATTGGCCTCGAGCACTCGCAACCCGGTTCCGAGACCTAGGCGAACTGACAGGCGGATGAGGGGAGGCGTGAGGCGGACAGAAAGGCAACACGAGTTGGCGGACGCACAGGCGATCATTGGAGCAGACTGCCACAAACTCATCGTCTGAGATCATAACCAGGCCGCGTTTGTACTTTCTGAGCAGGATGAGCGCGGTCTGAATATGCTGCCTTGGAAGGCATCAGGAGGATGATTTGGAGATGGTACTCTCGGGCCTTGAAATGGTCAGAATTACCGAGTAACTGCGTGTTAGGGAAATCGGAAAGACCAGTTTGGGAAACATAAGCTAATTGGGGATCAGAGCCTCTGAGGTGTAAACTCCAGATATGCACAGGGTTCGCGTGGGCTTGGAGCCAATCAAGGCACCTACTATCGCTGATTGGTACGACAGGCGGAAACAGCCCAGAACACTAGCGTAAACAATTTGCCACGACACTTTTGCAGCGGTGACCTTCGGCGACACACGGCCCGTCGCTCTCGCGGACGCCGCCTCCGCGGCACCGGACGCATCCTCGTCCGGTTGCCACCTTCCATTCATTATTCTGTACCGAACAAATAAATCATTTTCCTCTTCAACTGGCGTCCCGCTTCTTCCAACATGGGATATGGCCTGAAGTTGTGGCGTACTGAGCATACACCATCACCGTTTAGCCGCTACAGGTCGACAACTCAGCACATTTCCCTCACTATAAACAATCTGACGCGCACGAAGCAATCGCAGTGCGCTAAAAGCCGTGGCTTGGAAGGTTACCAACTGACGGGATAACTCGGACCTCGCAGTTAGCCCACTGCGGGTTTGTGTGGAGTGGCCGATTGGCAGACTGTGAGTCAGACCGCAATGACTCCCTCTGAATGTGGCCTCTATGGATCCGAGTCGCCCTCTCCCCTACCCTTTTTGTGTAAAATCCTGGTCAGTGTACGTTGTGGACCTGGGGCTGTGGTGGTACGCAAAGGTGTGAGTTTTCGCCGTGCCAGCCGCCCACGTCCTCTCTCGCTTCCGGTTTTCCTGACTCTGTCCTGACATCGGACTCCCGGAAGAGTAGAGGCCCGCCTGAGTTGTAATTCGCAGGGGTTTTACAATCGGTCTACTTGTAGATACTTGGACATCAGTAGGTACAGCCCCGGGGGCGGGTCTATCTGACAGCAAATTCTAAGTGCCAAATATCAGCGCTACCAGCTGGACGATTTGGAGCTCAGATCCCCATTCGACCACACGGCCAGCAGAGTTAGGATCCAATGGTAGCTGAATCTAACTGGCAAAGTAAGCTGGAAATTGATTATGCTTAGCTGAATAATGAGGAAAGAATAACCTCAGAGGATCACTATGGCGTATTCCCTTGCGTTCCAAAAGCTGCTGTTCTCGATGCCACTGGCCCTCCGTACATCCAAACAGAGTGTGTGAACAATGATTGGCTGACTTATCAAAGACCCGTCTGACCAGTGGATCCACGGGCAATGTCTGTCTGTCGCAGCCTGAAACAAGATGATATTTCATATTTCAAAGATTTCAGGGTGCACCCAGCTACCGAGGCAACTGTCCTCGCAATATGAATTTCGGCAAAACATCGTCCTATTTAGTTTCAAAAATGTGCTCCAGTGATTAGCTTAAAAATTCAGCCCATTTGGAGTCGCACACCATTACCCTCGTACTTCAAGTAATCGAATGAATGGGATGTCTAAATATTAAAATCTACTATACAAATGTCAGTCAACTTGGAGTGCAAAATCACAACAATATCTAGGCAAAAATCGCATAAAAAGAGCTTCGTATATCTCTGCGCCTGTTTTCACTGGCCTCCTCCAGGTCGGTGGTCTCGGGCAAGGTCTTACCGGTTGGTCGGATTGATCTGCAGACGCTTCAGAGAAGTTTTCAGAGTCTCCTTGTATCGACGGACTTGGCCTCCTTGTCCACGGGAATCCGCAGCGACGTCGCAGAAGACTAGTTTGGGTAGCCGCTCGTCATCCATCCGCACGAGGTGGCCACTCCAGCGCAGTTGCAGCTGTCTCAGAATGGTGTAGATGCTGGGGATCCCCGTCCGCTCCAGTAAATCCGTGCCCGGGATCCGGTCCCGTCATCCCAGCTTCAGTATCCGTCGAAGACAGCTGAGATGGAAGTGAATGAGTCTCCTCGCCTGCTTCTTGTACACCGTCCAGGTCTCCGCTTCGTACGGCAGCGTCGGCAGGATGGCCGCCTTGTACGTTTTCAGTTTAGTGTTGAGATGGAGACAGTGACGATTCCAGACGGTGTTTTGTGACGACCGAATGCTTGACTAGCTTTGGAAATCCGGTGGGTCACCTCATTGCCGAACTTGATGTTGAGGGAGAGGGTGCTGCCCAGGTAGGTGAAGTTCCCCACGACTTGCAGTTGAGCGCCGTTCACGTTGATTTGGGGTGCGTTGTAGGCAGCGTCGGTGGCGTTTGATGTATGATCACCGTCTTCTCAGTGTTGATGAACAGACTGAGGTTGTCGCAGCCGGCGGCGAAGAGATGCATGCTCCTTTGCATGTCCCATTCCGAGGTGGCGTTTAGAACGAAGTCGTGGGCGAAGAGAAGTACAGGGACGATAGTTGTGGAAACACGCAACTGGAAGTGCATCCGCTACTGATTTGGGAGGTAGCCACCCGTCCTGTAGGCGATGCAGATACGAGGGCGTTCGTCACAGTAGGTGTCCTTCGGTATGGCAGAGAAAATAAGACTAAAGAGAGTAAGCGCGAGGACGCTGCCCTTCCTCCCCCCGTTGGCCAATAGGAATGCCTCTGAGGAAGCTTCATTTGCCATTTATAGGCATGTTATGTCGTGCGGTGAAGTAAAGGCGACAAAGCAACTGTCCTCTCACTATGAAATTAAGCATAACATCAGCCACCTTAGTTTTAAGAATATATTCCAGTGATTAGCTCAAAAATTCAGCCCATTTGCTGTCGCACGCCATTCCCGACGTGCTGTGAGTAATCGAATGAATGGGATGTTTAAATATTATAATCTACTAAACAAATGTCAGTCTGCTTGTAGTGAGAAACCACAAAAATACCTAGGCCACAATCGATTAAAAAGAATTCAATTTCCTGTCTAGATTTTCAGTGCGAGTAGAGTTAGTAGCAATGCAAATCTACGTATGCTCCGACAGCTCGCATTTTGGGGCATGATCGAAGAGCATGCAATTATTCGGACGACGAAATTTGACTATGGCTCACATCTGAGTGGCGCACACAAAGCTGTACTGATTGACTAACACATTTCTTGAATTTTGGATGGCATTCATGGCAAATATTCCAGAAATGCAGGACAGAAGAATCTACAAAACACCAACTTGTTTGAATATTTCCTCACTTGGGTAGGATAGATGCCTCATTAAAAGATTTTGGAGAGTTGCAAAAATAGCCATCACTGCGATTGCCCCACACCAACATGACATGGGACCCTCGAAGAAATTCCGACCACCAGAATGGGAAACGCGCGTGCAACCAGAAACAGCAATATCCGAGTTGGCAAATTCGTCAGATTTACATATGTATGTTCTACTAAACCACGGTGGACACATATGTCCAACCACTTGAATGCGACCCATAATGGGATCACAGTTAGCAACGATACAGCTCACGAACCACTTTCGAATATGCTGTAAGTAAGAGCACGTAAACGTGGTAGGAGGATCTCGTAGAAGTACTTATGGCGAATGTCAGCAGCTCCGTGTGCATAACATTTCCCCCTATACATTTACGCATTTCAATAAATAACATCCCTGTGACTCATTCGATGTACAGCGTTTTCATTACTTCAAAACTTTTACTTCCAGGCAAGTTGACTAAGACCTGACCAGATGCCTGGCCTTGCCGTACATCCTCAGGCCGAGAAACACGTTGCTGACAGGATTATCGATTTTGCAAGAGCGCTACCAACGGCGCAATCGATGATGACTCGATTCGAATGCTCGGCTGCCAGCACAAAGCTAGCGGACAATGCCTGAGATGACTGACTTTGTGTGCCTATTGCTCTGCAAGTTATTCGCCCATTACTTCGGCCCTAGCCGACTGCCGCCCGCAGAAGGCACAAGCGTGGACCAAGCGCACAGCACGGGTACGTCTTCCGGAACTTTTTAGTCCCTATCTCAGTCCTTAAGGAATAACACTAGCAGGACAGAGTCAGGCTAAATAACATACCTATTTAGCAGAAAATACCGATAACTAACAACATGAAATGAGGCTAGAGATATTTGACACGCGGACTTCTATGGACCATGCTATTAAAAATCTACGCAGACCAATTAACAAACAAGGAATCAGAAAGGTCAACGAAATGCATAAAGATCATTTTGAGAAAACGTGTCTTATAATATTCGAGCATGTATATGTGGACTTCAATCTAGTTCACTTTTCGCTTCCTAGATGCCGACCATCTTTCCACGCCACCTCCCATCTGCACGAGACTCGCATCGCCCACAATCAAGGAACCCTCCCGTAGAAACTGCAATGATTCATCGCAATCCGATTCATCTTACTTTGCTGATTTTCCCATCTACTACTCTCCTCCCTCCTCCAATTATCAACCTGATCGCTCCCAATCCCACATCCACGACATTCATCCGCCTTCTCGCGTCCGTCTTCCACACATCCGACCCCCATGTCTCCATTCATCCCACAGGCCAACCCCAATGCAGCAGTGGACACCGGCCAAACGGACCACCGCGTTCTTCCCTCTGCGCTTCAGGCCTCATCCAAGGAAGGTGTCAATGCCGTTCTTCTGGAAAGGCAAACTCAGAAGAGAAGATGACACCTCCTTGGATGTCAGCTCCTCCATCTTCGATTGGTCATGGCGGAGCGAGTCCTGGGAGGCGGAAACGGCCAAGACTCCTGTCAAGGCAGATCAAGGCTGCTACCGTCCCCAGGATCTCCTGGAAGATGACGCTAGCCTGACCAGCGAAGAGGGGCCGCAGTCGGTGGCGGCCTTCCCTTACGGTGACTACCCCTCCTCCCCAACTGTCCACGTTGAGGGACAGGAATGGGAGACAGCATGCATGGAGAAGAAGGTCGTAGGACAAGGTATCGGCGGATGCCTTTTTAAAGTTTGCAGGCAGATCATGAAGGTCTTATTACTGGCAGAAAATTCATGCCAACGTACTAAGCCCATTAGGACATTCTCACACATTCTCAGTGTTTCTGTGATATCGCTTTATCCTTAACCTTACTTTCTTCCATTTTAGACGATCCGTTAAAGGATAAGCCGTCACCGACTAGGGTAATGCTTTTGCAGTTTGCGCTGTTTAGAGTTTGGTTGCCATTTCAGGTCGTCTAGACGCCCTCTTACAATAAGTGCTTCAATGAATGTATTTGTTCTCTTTAGCCACGCAGGAGCTGGAAGTGGCGTGTGGTCCGGACGCTGCGGCGGTTGTGCTGTTGCTGCTGCTGAGGGGAAAGCCTCGTGGGATGATGACTCCCCTTGCCGTGACCTCCACCCCACCCCATCCAACCTTCGTCTTTCGCATTTTATGTGATTTTGTATCTTACGTAGGGACTTGACATACATCCAAGTGTACATAATGATTTTGATTTGTTCACCAATAAGACCTGTTTTGTCTCCAGTTACACAAGCCTTCTAACAGAGCGTAATCTATGGGTGCAGAAGATGAGGGCAAGCGTGGGGGTAATGGAAGCGCATCGTCTTTGTAAACTCAGCCGCCGTAGGCAGTATGGGAATAAACAGGTATGGCTTTGCATGCGGACAGGAGTTGAATTGGGTTATTGGTTTAGTTCTGTTCACAGCACCGGTTGCTCCGTACCAACTGTCAGTCTTGCCAGCTGACTGCGAGAGCATACTCCTGACTGGAATTATAATATCACAATCCTCAATCAAGTTCCGTCGATTTCAGTAGTCACCTTACCGCACCAGCATTTCATGCTCGCGTGTCTATCATCCTAGTCTGAGTCTAGTTTGAACTATGCACGCTTACTAGTGGGAAATATGGCAAGGTGTGTACATTTCCACCCAATTCTGGAATGTGCATTACTCCAGGACGAGGCTTCGGAGATTGGCGAGTTTGCACCGCCTAATATTCACACTGCAGCGCATTTATGAATGGTGCCATGGATGCCAGCAACTGACTGTCTCCTGCTTTGTTGACTTTGCCGAAGCATTCGATTCTATTGATTGTGAGTGCTTTTGCATCACGATAGCGCTAGACGGTGTGCCGGCAAAAGTAGTCGCTGCAGTTACTGTCCACGACCGTTGCATCGTTGTGCGAGTTCTGGTCCTAAACAATCCTACCCAGTCCTTTGCGCATTCGGTCTGACTTGCCCTATGTTTTCCAAGTTCTGCTCTTAAGACGTCCAAAATTTCGGAGTTTCGATTTATCTTCCTATCTTTTTTCTCTAATTTTGTCACATGACATCACACTCCAAGTAGAAAGGAATGACTGTGAAATATACAGGGACATTGAGAAAGTCCGCAATTTTGGCTGACTGGACGCTTTTTCCCCGCAGGTTAGGGAAGATCCATCAGTCTGGTATGTTTTCTTGGCGAAATAATCTTATCGTCAGCGGCACAATTTGCATTTGGCGGAAAGCGTGGTTGCATTCGGATGACAGTGTTATCATAATTTGCGTCAAATTATATGCTTCAAATAAGATTCACGGTCTTGGCATCCGCCATTCATGTCAGCAACATGCTCTATAATGAGTTATTCTTTCTTCGTCAGCTGTTTGGATGGTAGATTGCACAGCATCTCCTCATTCTTAATGACTTGGGCTTAATTTTGAGAAACATCTAATCTGAAGCCAATCTCTTTCCTTCCTGTCTCCATTTTGCCAAAACTGCAGTCACATGACCAAGACAATTTTTAGTGAATTACCGCCACCAGTTTGATTCATTTGACTGTAATGACTCCCTATTTACCGCTCCCAAGAAATATCCACATCAAATGACTAGGTTGAGACAATAACCCACCTCCGGAATACTCATTCGAGCAGCATACACTGGCTGTCTACACTGTTGTACCGTCCAGATAGAGCTACTTAACATGTCTCTGACTTCCAGGGCGTCCTCAACCGCCCACCGACCATACCCGAAGAAGCCATCAGTCGGCTTCCTCAAGTAGACATTAACGACGAACTAATCGCCGCCGACTTCAGCCAATCAGAGTAATTTATCAGCTGTCCAATGGAAAGGCACCCAAAGCAGAGGCAATTCTACCCGGAGTCTACACGCACGGCGGCACACAACTCATTAAAAAATTTATCTCGTTATTCTAGAAAATGCTGCGACAAGGGCTCAGCCCCGAAGAATTCAAGGATGCCATCATCAGGCAAGGGGAACGGACAACAATGTGATAACCACAGAGCCATCCCCCTTCCAAATATTACAGGAAAGATATTCGTTCGTATTATACTCAATTGTCCGAAGGCTTGGAGTCAACTTCGTGTAATCATTCAACCTTCTCGAGTTAGCACGACCCCCTATAACTCTTGACTTGAACGGTTGTCATTTAGCGCGGTAACACAACACCCAGGAGTGATGAACTTCAGTGGATCTTGCATAGGGAGCTCATGCAACACTCCTCTCTGATGTGAGAGCCAAGTTGGTGAAACGCGTTTCGTCTACATTAAGGCACCAACACGCGCGTGTGACGTGCGACCAGACTCACGTGCGTTCACCCTGACGGTGTGTTGACTTGGCGCAAAAGTGGTATGGGGATAGAAAGTGAGGCTGATTCTGTGCAGGACGCCACACAATAATCAAGATCACGCGCGGATCGCTCTGATCCTAATTGAGTACGCCCGACAACACGCTGCGTAGTGCCGGAATTCGGAATAGGTTCGGTATGTACAGTTTTTCGGCACATGGCTGTCCATGGGCTGCCGTCAGTACCCTGCCACTTTCAGTGACGAAATTGACCGCAGCAATTGCAGGACAGCCTGCAAGCTGCAGAGCATGGGTCACGCAGGTTCTAACTCGAATAATTACCGAGTAAAACACCCATACACGTACCAAGTAATGTGCATCGACCGAGTACTCCACGAAGTGCGCGCCGCACCGGTGACTTTAACATGAATTCCTTTGTAGTGAGGCAGACTTGCACAGCACCTGTCACACTTCCTAAAACGCCCACCAGGCCCCGACGGCAAGATAATGTCAAGATGGTCGCAGGTGGCTTGAAGGCTGTGGCTGACAAGGTTTAAGACTCTATCTACATGTGCTACACACAACCTAGTTGTCCGCACAATATGCCGAATTTTCACAGAATAGGGGTCAACCGGCTCTCCCATGATCATAAAAGTGCCATGGGGGCATCTTAAGAAGGAACCATGAAACCTGACGCCCAGTACTCGAGCCAGTCCTCTCGCATGCATCCACAGTACTGACCAGGGGAACCAAGCCATCCAATCAGCTAGATATCAGTGTCATTAGAGAACTAAAGCAAGGGATTCCCTGTGTGATAAGTATTGCAGATGAGACATTTTGGACAAAGTCGCGGAACTGGTAGGCCCCCGTAATCCTGGCATCTCACAGAAATATGCTTTTTTGTCTAAAATCGGATTAAGTATGTTACATGCTGCTTCCTTCGGAGGGGATTTTCGTACCCTTCCCCCCAAGTGGACGTGAAGAGGACTGAAACGAACAAGTAACTCATAGGGGCAACTTTTCCCCCATTGAATTTGTTGGTCAACCTGATAATGTACTTTGACCGGTGTTTCAAATCCTCGATCGCGACATGAATTTGTTGCAATGCCAACCAAGACCCACGTAACACCAAAAATGCCTTACCGCTTTAGAATATCGGAGGATTTCGTATTTTTGCATAATGCCGGACTAAATTAAAAGTAGGTAGTTAACAGGTTACTCCCTCGGGAGGAAATTACCATAACCTCCACCTCAAATGGTCATAGGCCATCCAAAAGAAAATAGTCCACCCTCGTAACCAGGACCTGAAGGATTATGTAAGAAACCCAAACAAATGCTAGCTGTCGAAGATATTGACCAAAGTGGCATGTCTGTGCGGCGTGCATCCTGGGATAGCAGCACTTTCTGTTCCAGTAAATGTCCTCATTAGCCAACAATAGCACAAAACCGCACCTGGGACTGTACACCAAAGCGGTACGCGCACACTCGCAGACCACATTGACGGTAAGTGATTTCAAGGAAGTAAGTCAGCAGTACTATAAATCCGTGGCTCCAGCATTGCCACAGTGTTGTTACACACAGGCCAGGCTTTTGACCAACAAAAACAACAATGGGGGGCGGCGGCAGGGGTCCCAGTGTGCGCGGCGTCTGTCGACAACCAGGTCTGCCAGGGCACCCCTAAGTGTTGGCATTTATTATGATGCGCAAATCCGAATACGCCTGCCAGAATCCGATATGGCCCACGTGTTGTTCCAGCACGTCTACACTGTGACCGTTTGGGGACAACACCAACCACCCAATCAGTCACAAACACAGTTGCGTAAGAGCGCTATACCAGCGTGTGAAGACACACTGCAGGTAACCGGAAGACAAGGTTGCTGAATTACAATACCTCCAACGGATGCGTAGAGCAAATGGATACTCACGCAACTTCATTAATCAGCGCCTGCACAAACGAGGCGAGATACGAAATCCAACCGGCCCCAAATTTTGGCGAGCTCTCCCGTACGTGAAGAATGTCCCAAAAGCTGTCAGCCGCCTTCCTACGCCCCTTGGAATTTGAGATGTGCACAGACCGGAGGCAACCAGATCATGAAACCGAAAGACCTACTGCCACGTCGGGAAACATCTGGATTCCTTTACCGCGTCTGGTGCAGTTGCGCACAAATCAACTACGTCGGAAAAACCGGAAGACTACTACAAACATGAATGGTCGAGCACGTAGCAGCAGTGAGGCGGAACGATACCAACTCCCACGTCGTGATTCATTCGACAGGACACAATCACACCTTTAAGTTTGACG